GGAGTTAGCTTCAGTGCTGCACTCTGGCATGAAAACTCACTTGCACCGTCATGTATATCATCTTATTAACACTTTGCATACCTGTCCGTATCCAGGGCTACCAGTGGCTTTTCATCTGGACTCTGGTCTAATGATGAATAGCCCTTATTGGGAACGACGAGCCTGAAAGAATTAAATGTTGTCCGTTAACCACACAGTAAAGCTCAGTACCACACATAGTCTAGGGCAAAGCTATATGATAGTTAGGCTTTCCCTGTTTCACCTCCTTGCAAGCCCTCCCTTATTGGTGAAGACGTTTAAATGGGTGTAATGCAGAGGAAGTGAGCTGTGTCTCTGGCTAGCTTAGAGCAGTTTCACAGGGATGAACACCGGACATGTCTTGGGAACACGCTCCTCCCTGGAAGAAAAAAACGTTGGGACACTCCATGCTTCATTCTCGTGAACCTGTTCGGCTAGCAGTGCTTGTTGTATCAGATTGCTCTTTTTTGTGTTGCTTTTTTTCCTAGCAATGAGGACATGATACTAGCAATAAGTAAATAGGAAAAGGAGGCTAGGCGAAGGCAGAGGCTCAGTGCTCCTACTATTGTCCTATTGGAAATCAGGAATGTGGTCTTTCTGCCTGAGCCGCTACCCAGCCCCCCCCAGCACAAAACTCCTGAGGTCTCAGTCCTAAATTTAGTAATATGAGAAATATGAGCTGGTGGGTGCAGCGTAAGAGCCCAGTCAGACTAGCACTTTTTAAATCCCATTATTTTATAATGACTTTCACTTCATCAGAAGTGTTACAAAGGCTGATGATGACTTTGCACCTTTAATTGCCTGAGAGAGTTTCTGAAATGGAATACAGGCTTCAGAGCTTCTAGGATAAGGAAAATGCATTAATACAATGGTATCTAGTTCACAACAGAGTTCTTTCATCCACAAAACTGCACAAAGACTTTAGTTCATATTTAAAATAAGATCAACCAAACCAAGCAAATGGAATTAGCAGGTAGGAACTGTAAGAGCGATGAAAATCTCCTCGTTCAGTGGCTTAACTCAGGTTTTCCCTCAAATGAAGTGCTGGTCTTTAACAACACACAATGATGCACAATGATGCTTCACTAAGAGTTTGGGAAATATAAATCTAAAGATTATAATCCATCTCATCCATGCTCCAACTGCTCTCTAACTACCTGAAATGTTTTTCTGCTTCTGCTCAGAAAATTTCAGGAAGCCATTATAATTTTAGCAATAAAAAGGCCTGCCAGGCACTGAAGATGGGCAGGCTCAGGGGGAGTAAAATATATCAAACGTTATCACAAAGCAGATATATAGGTTCATGACTAGTTGTATTTTTTTATTGTGTTCATTGAAATGCAAGATTAAAGAAATTAATTTTAAAACTGATGCAGAATTTCCAACCTGCTGCACCAGGTGACTGGAGAAAATGGGATCCACTTGCAAAATTCAATATAATTTCTCATAGCATTAGGATGGTCCTTCTGCTCCTGAAGTATGTAAGCAGGAAGTCAAGAAGCAAAGTTGTCTGGAACTGAAGCTGTGCTGAAGTATGTAAGCAGGAAGTCAAGAAGCTGTAGTATGTAAGCAGGAAGTCAAAGTTGTCTGGAACTGAAGCTGTAATCTAGCAGCAGGAGCTTGCCCATACTGATATCAGAAGTACTGACTTCCATTCTCACTCTCCAGTTTTCAAGTCATAGAATCAGAATCACAGAATCATAGAATCCTTTCGTCAACCCAACACCACCATGCCCACTAAACCATGTCCCTAAGCGTCTCATCTACACGTCTTTTAAATACCTCCAGGGTTGGTGACTCTACCACTTCCCTGGGCAGCCTGTTCCAAGGCTTGACAACCCCTTCGGTGAAGAAATTTTTCCTAATGTCCAATCTAAACCTCCCCTGCCACAAATTGATGCCATTTCCTCTTGTCCTATAACATGTTACTTGGGAGAAGAAACCAACCCCCA